TGTCACCGTAACATTTGCGGAGCTACAGAAAATTCACCAGCTCTATAAACTGGCAAACTCTATTTTTATGTCAGTGGGCTGTAAGTAGTGAATTAATTCCTAGCAAGACATCGTGGGGACTGAGGGCTCCACCTCAAAGATAAGGCACCACCGCTTTAATATGCAACTAAAGGAAATCGCTGTGGTAACTTTAAACTGCTCCATCTTCAGCACTTTGGAGGGAAGAACGCTGTGTAAATCTCACACATGGTAGGATGAACACATGGCTGGAGTGGGTATTAGTCACCGTGGAAAGGCAGTCGCCTGTGTGCCCCGAAGAAATCTAATCTAGGTCTTGTCTGGATTCTCTGTCCTGATTTGACTGAATTAAATCTAACAAGGAATTGCTCTTTCTGACATTCTTCCTCAGTCTTTAGCCCCAGATTGACAGAAGAATAACAGAGGACTTTCACAAACCCAATCGTTCCTCCAATGGAACCTGTTCCCAGGCATGGACCTGATTTAGAGGCAAGAAAAACCGCAGCTATGAACCGCCAGTGACTCAAGACCCACCCCCTCCTTGGCACCTGGTCAGCATGGGCTCCGGGGGAAGGGATCTGGCTGTTTCACGCTCCTCCTCACCCAAAAGCTTCAAAATAATGATTCTGGGGGTGTTGAAAGTATACAGTGACAGGTCAATCTTCTTAAAGCCGATTTTATAGAATACCACCTCTGTATGTGGTCATTTGTAACTTTTATGAATGGGAAAAGTTGTACATCTGGGCACCACGTAATTGGAACTACAACTATTTTTGCAAAAATCAATATCTTACAGATAATTTAAAGAGCTCATCAGAGTTCCAGTAAAACCACCCAACAGATTAACTGGATTTATACGCATGCCTTTAGAGCAGAGAAGTCCTCAAATCTGTAAGGAGCCAGATAGTAAATATTTGGGGCTTTGTGACCAAATTGCTGCCTTTGTAGCAAGAGAGCCACCAGAAGACAGGCACCAACCGGTGCGGCTGTGTCTCAACAGAAGTTATTTACAAACACAGGCAGCTCAAAGGACTGGCAGTAGCCTGCCCACCCCTGCCTCAGGGGATGGCATTGGTGAGGACATCAGGATCACTGAATACTGACGTGACCAAATATGGAAAAGTCCATATACCAGACCAGAGAGAAAAGCAAGGGCGGGTGATGAACACTTTTCTGAAAACATAAAACTGCCTTGACTCTTAGGTCCTTTCCAGCTCCAATTTTCTCAGTTACGGGATTACTAGTTAGTCACTACAGAGCCTTTGGGAGTAACACCAGCCTTTGGGACTAACACCAGCTTTACTCACAGAAAGACAGACTCAGAAGGACATTGCAACTCATCTCACCCGTTCTTTGTCCCCTTTTGATATTATTGAGACCTTGAAATGTCAAGTGTGTACAGAAACTAGAACCACAGTTCCTGGTCCATTATTACACATCTCTGCTCTTTCTCCTTATCCGGTTCACTGCCTAAGAGTAGTTCTTGAGGAAGAAGGTTCTGGTTTTGAATGAGGAACAAGAAGCCTCAGTGGGAGGTTAAAAAGCCTTTGGGGATGAATATGCACTGATGAATCTTGAGTATTTTCTATCTTCTTGAGTAATTTGAACAAATTCTAAAATTTGTTTACTACTAAATTCAGTGAGAAAGTTGTGTTTTCTTTTCAAGTGATTTCAAGTGACTTTTTTTAAACAATGGTTTTTTAATCATAAACAGCATATAACTACATTTGCCTTACAGAACACTTAAATTCTTCAGATTTTTTTAAATTTTCAGGAAGAAAATCACCAGTTGGCTCAAAAATTCAAATCCCCTTTTAAACTACTTCCTGAAATCTACTCAACGTCCCAAGATAAAGTGGTGATGTAGATATAATTTACTCACCGGGAGTGATAAAAGACAATGTAAAATATAACAAAAATTTGCTAAGCACTTACAACAGCCTAGCTTTCAGAATTATGGCAAAGATGAAATGAGAGGACCATCGCTTAATCATTTTTGCCATTCTACCAACGAGCAAGCTGGGTTCCAAAGCTAAGTGGCCAATGGCAGCATGTTCACTTGGGTGTGGACTCGAATCCAGGCTGACTTGGTTGAAGGGACTCCCTCTTTCCTTAACTCTGTTGGTTGTTCACCATCAAGGAAATTTCCAAATTATTTTCTGTATCTAGTTTATTTTTTTTATTTTTATTTTTTAATGTTTATTTTTGAGAGAGAGAGAGAGAGAGAGAGAGGGTGCGCACGCACGCACGCATTCAAGCAGGGCCGGGACAGAGAGAAGGGGACAGAGGATCCGAAGCAGGCTCTGTGCTGACAGAAAACAGCCTGGTGTAGGGCTCAAACTCAGGGACCACGTGATCATGACCTGGGCCAAAGTGAGATGCTTAACCAACTGAGCCGCCTAGGCACCCCTGTACCTACTTTAAAGAGGGCTCTGAGACAGTACCGGTTGTTTTGAAGAATTCAGATGCTGCTTTTCTGTGCTCAATTTTTGCAACTAATTTCTTATAGCAAATAACCCTTGACTACAGGGGGACAAAGTCCTATATTTAGAATGTATGCGGTCAACGGATATTCTCTACAGACAGAAATTGACAACTCATTTTTAATGGTTAATTTTGCTCAAATTAATCAATACTACTCAATGTTTTTCATCTTGTTTAGATTTACAAGGCTTTGTCTGCATATATTATTTAATGTTCAGTGACCAGGTTATCCTGGGTGAGCACTTTTTCAGCTTTGGATTATTTACATAACATATCCCAAAATAGATGACCAATGACAGCCTACAGAACTCTCAACATTTTTCATGTCTGTAAACACAGATCACAAGAAAAGTGCCAGAGTGGTCTATGTGAACACTTATTCAAGAAAACCACGTGTTTTAGTCAAGAAAATCACGTGTTTCTGAACTTCTTGGAAGAGCTGGTTACAAGTGATTATGAGGTAAATGGTGTGCCCGCGTCCATGACTATCACAGAAGCTTTCCGGAAGAGGTCACCTGTATCGATCTGCTTTACCAGTTGAGCTCATTTCCTGCAACTAGCTTCCTCAAACCTTGCACCATAGCCATAGCACTTCCAAATAATTTCACAAAAGTGTAATTCACAACACAAACAGCCAGGGACTAAGATGCAGTGGACTAAATATGTCAAGTCTTGACACACTTAGGCTTTATTTTGGGTTAGTACAGTGAGACTTCACTTCCTGGACGAATCTTGTTCAATATGGAGAACTTGTTACAACAGCCACAACAGAACGCCATGGATGGAATTAATGATAGTTATCTCTATACTAATCTCTACACCTTTTATTAGTTCACTATTTTAACTGATTACGCTTTTTATGCCTGGCACCAAAAGACGTGAAATCAGGTATTAAAATAAACTTTTTTTGGGGCGCCTGGGTGGCGCAGTCGGTTGAGTGTCCGACTTCAACCAGGTCACGATCTCGCGGTCCGTGAGTTCGAGCCCCGCGTCGGGCTCTGGGCTGATGGCTCAGAGCCTGGAGCCTGTTTCCAATTCTGTGTCTCCCTCTCTCTCTGCCCCTCCCCTGTTCATGCTCTGTCTCTCTCTGTCCCAAAAATAAATAAACGTTGAAAAAAAAATTAAAAAAAATAATAATAATAAAATAAACTCTTTTTTTGGTATTTCTGGTAAGAGCAAAATTTCTTTTTTTCCTGATGTTTTACGATGAAAACCATACCAATATTATCAAAGCACAAATTTTAACGTGGATCCGTTGTTTCTTCTTTCCATATCCTCTCCCACTACTGATATCCTCTGCCATGAGGTACTCAAGGACCTCCTTTGTTACCCAACACGGGCCTGCAAGGGGTCAAAACTACCATCCCACCATCTAACAGTGTAAGATAATCTACGAAAATAAACCTTTGTGAGAACTTTTGTCCAAACGCTTGTGACCCAGATGATGAAGTGAAAACGTACACCAGAATTTTAAGAACCTTTACAAGATCCCTTCCCTTGAAAATTATAAGCGACCCTACCTTCTGTAACTCTCCATACCCCATGCATATGTGGCCACCGTCCTTCAGACCTTAGGATGCTGCCCCTGAACAATCATGACAGTTGCTCTGGCTGTCAAAGCACCTTATTCTAATATGAAAGGTTCTGCAACTTTGACTCCTGATGGTCTTATGAGGATGATTCACATTCCCACCTGCTCTGACATGGTGTTTCAGCCCAACCCTGACACTCCCTTGTGCTCCGGAATGCTTTTTTAGCATAATATCCTCAAGGTTCCCCTATGCTGTCAGTTATGATAGGATTTTCTTCTTTTTTAAGACTGAAGAATAGTCATTGTATATATACATACCACATTTTCTTTATCTGTTCATCTGCTGATGGGTATTTAAAAGGTCGTTTTCAGGGCACCTTGGTGGCTCAGTCAGTTAGCGTCCAACTTCGGCTCAGGTCACGATCTCACGGTTCTCACAGTTCGTGGGTTCGACCCCTGATCGGACTCAGAGCATGGAGCCTGCTTCGGATTCTGTGTCTCCTTTTTTCTCTCTGCCTCTCCCCTGCTTGCTGGCTCTCTCTCTCTCTCTCTCTCAAAAACAAATATTAAAATAAATGTTAAGGTTGTTTTCACTTGTTTTTGTTTTTGATAAAGAAGGGAATACATTTTGACAGTGTTAAAAAAAAGGGAAATATACTTCTTTTGGAAGCGATGCAAGTCAGACAGGCCAATAACTCTACTCGGAAAGAACATTGCTTCATCGTTAATAAGCATCTAATTACAAAATGCGGTGATGTGCAGGACACCTCAAGGGCTGAGCCGGAGAACGAATGTGGAGCATCAGGGCAGACATCCCGGGAGAACGGAGGTGTGAGGAGTGGAGGAGGAAAGGAAGTTGGCCAGGCAGAGAGGGCAGGGAGCCTTCCCAGCACAGACTCCAGCTGCAGGCCAGTAAGGAAGCGACATGGTGGGTGAGGGGCTATGAGAGAAGTCGCTGCCCGTAACAATGGCGATGGCAAGTGGCGGGCAAAGCAGCACAAGAGGCTGGGGGGACTTGCAGGGGCTGATCCCGTCCCACGTGCCCGGCCACGTGATCCGCTGCTCAAAGTCACATGGTGCCACGTGGGCTTCTCTTCACCCCCTTCTGCTTCCTTCCAACTCAGTCAACCAAAGCTTGCGGCCCACGGCCTCTGCGTGAAGTAGCAACCTTCGGCAGAAAGGCAGAGATCTGCATGTTTATCCTGCTTGACTCCCTGTTACGAAAACCAGGAGGATATGCTCTTGGTTCTTGAATTAAGTTGGAAGTTCAAAGAACTGTGGATTGAGCACAAGCATCTCCAGAAATCCACGACCGTCTCAGCAGCGACAGTGAGAGTCCTCATTCTACTGCTACGTTTGGGGAAGCAGTTTTTGAAGGTTTCATTCTGTCCAAAGTGTTATTCAATACCGGAGAATATTAAGGAGAGCTTAGAGAAACTCGACTTAAACTGTTCTTGTTTAGATTCTTACTAACGTGAGTAACGTTACGTGAGCCTTACGTGAAGGCTTTTGTGGCTGGTGGTGGGGATCTTTGTCATTTTAACATCAGTTTTCTTTTTTTTTTTTTTAATTTTTTTTTTCAACGTTTATTTATTTTTGGGACAGAGAGAGACAGAGCATGAACGTGCAAGGGGCAGAGAGAGAGGGAGACACAGAATCGGAAACAGGCTCCAGGCTCTGAGCCATCAGCCCAGAGCCCGACGTGGGGCTCGAACTCACGGACCGTGAGATCGTGACCTGGTTGAAGTCGGACGCTTAGCCGACTGCGCCACCCAGGCGCCCCAAACATCAGTTTTCAAAAATATATGTAATTCGGGCTAAAAGTTAATTAGACAGTAATTAAATGTTCATTAGACACTGATCAAAATTTAAAATAGTGGATTATTTGGTCTGAAATAGTGTCTTTCAACGTTTTATTACAGACTGACAAAACAGCCGTAAGATTAAAACTTTAACAACAGACTATATAAGTTGTATATATTGTTAACAATTCTCATAGAATTGTAATAAAATGAAAGGAAGTCAGTCATTTGTCAAGTGACTACATTTGTTTGACATATAATTAGTTCATGTGAGTATGATAGCAAATGCCCACCAGTAATTACTGAATTATATCACTCACATTATTTTGTGAAATTTCATAGTTGATAATGCTGAAAAGTTATGATTAATTTTCAAAAATTCTACGTGTACCGTGGATAAAATCTTCACGCAAATTGCCTAAACTCTCTAGCCAGCCCTTAACAAAAAGCTATGACATACATATGAAGTAAAAATGACAATTATATGTGTCATCTGAAATCCATTAAAAGCTAGAAATTGTTCAAGAATGGACAACTTTCATAAGATGACCACACCAAAATGAACTACCAAGTTATTAATCATATTTACAGAGGAATGCTTAATAAATTGATAATTCAAATAAAGCAAAAGTAGAAAATAAAATTAGATAAATATAAACTATAATTCTAAAATTCAGAGCAGCATTTGGTTATGTTCCTTGAAGTCAAGGATGTGAATTCGTGAAGTATTCAAAGATTTCTATTTCTTAAAACAGAAACAAAGCAAAATTAAAAAGCAAAACAGTTATTTGAATTCATTGGTAAACTGTCCAAGGTTTAAAATTTTTCACACACAGAGGGGCGCCTGGGTGGCTCGGTCGGTTAAGCATCCTACTTTTGATTTCCACTCAGGTCAGGATCTCATCACGGGTTCCTGAGTTTGAGCCCCATGTGGGCTCTACGCTGACAGGGCAGAGCCTGCTTGGGATTCTCTCTCTCTCCCTCCCCCTCTGCTCCTTCCCTGCTTGTGTGCTCTCTCTCTCTCTCTCTCTCTCTCAAAATAAAATAAACTTAAAAAACCAAATTTTCACACGTAGTCAGCAAGTTCAATTATTTAATATCCTAAAAGTCTTTTCCTCATTTTCAAGTTTCTCTATATTAATACACAGATACCCAGTTGTATGTAAGAAGCCTTTCCGACTTCTGTAGGTACAAATCTAAAAGTTCACAGTACATTACATCTGAACTGTACAGAGACTTACCACATTGTATTATAATTACTTGCTTATTGGCTCTTCTTAGAGGTAGATACAGGTATTACAGGTATAATGTTAAAGTACGTAACATCTTGTGAGGATAAGTTTATCTGTAATATGATTAACCCATCCTTGTGATTTTACATCTTATTTTAGAACAAGAAAAAGCTGCCTCTGCTTCTGGATAGACCCTACTGACCATCTGGTTCCTGGACTCAAGCCCAAGCCGGGGACCTTCTCTCTGACCCTTTTGTTATTGAGAAAAAATGTGAATTTAACAATTCACGTGCAAAATGTAGACAGTAACTTTAGGTCAAATACACAGGAAAGAGCTGAAGCACAGGTTTAAAATTCTTATGTTGATGGCGCTCTGAAGGTTTATTGCAGATATTAACAATATGAGATGAACACATACTCCTCTATTAAGAATATGTGTTACAGATGCCCAAGGTAGATGATAGAAGCGATAACTATGTAGGAACATATTTTATGTGACAAATCTTCAACTTCTGAGGAAAATCCATCTGTAGATATAATATTTATAATAGCAATACAGATATATCATGTCTTTAGTTGCAAATAAAACACATTTTCATCTTTTAGACTTTCTGCTTTTAATATTATGGCTATAAATATGAGAAATATATTTTCTAAATACCAACTTTACACTGTGGCCAATTACAGCATACAATATTTTTTTATATATGTGTATATATATACGTATATATATATATTTTATATATATGTATATATATACGTGTATATATATACATATATATATTTTATACACATGTGTATATATATACGTATATGTATACGTGTATACATGTGTATACGTGTGTATATATGTATATGTATACACGTGTATGTATATATGTATATATATACACGTGTATGTATATATATACGTGTGTATATATATATGTGTATATATATATATATATGGCAGTGATGCAATCAACTTTTGTTGGGGAAATTTTTAAGAAAAAAATAGCTAGTAAATTATACTACCTTGCCTAAATAGCTTCTTGCTGAATAGAAATTTAAATAAGCCTAAAGGAGAGAAAATATCACACAATTTCATGGAAGTGAAGTCAAGAGAAAAATGCGAAAGACGTAGGGTAGATGTCAGCCATTCATCAAGATAAGTAAAATATCGGAATCTATTCATCAGACTGTAAACTGCAAAGACGCTGTTACAACACACTATGTGTATGTGAGAAAGAAGCATATGCCATCCTACAAAATCAACCGCACCACAAGTGTGCCAAGGCACAGATTTACGAGCGACCTAATAAATGTCTAATCACAGGATACGGTGCCAGGAAAAAGTGAGGGGAAAATATCAGCCTCTTGCCTGTCAACTTCATGGACTCTCTCTGCTTCACTTTCCTTTCTACTTCTTAGCTCCCTGACTTTCATTTTTCTCGGTTATTTTTCTCTGCCATCACCTCGGTTACTTGCCTCAACTCTGGCCATTTCAGCTGATACGTGGGATGTGGATTTTCAGACCCGATGTGCCCTCCTGTCTATGAAACAACTACAGCCCTCTCTTCTTTGCCATTTTCAGCTTTACTGAGGTATAACTGAGAAGTATGACTGCATGATACACAGCACGTACCCCGTGATGATTTGATCTATGCACCGATTGTTGAAAGGATGGCCTCCATCAGATTTATCAGCCACATCCCTCACCTCACATAGGTACCTTCTCGTGTGGGTGAGAGAATATTTAAGTCCTACTCTCTTAGCAAACTTCAAGTATATAATACAATCAACTCCAGTTGCCAAGCAGTGCATGAGATCCTTCCTCAGACCTTATTCATCTTCTAGCTGAAAGTCTGTACCAGCCTGTCCCGGTTTTCGCCCACCAGGCCGGTCACTGGCAACCACTTTTACATTGCATGTATCACCTCCCTCCCCTTTTATGTTATAAAGTGACTTCTAGCTTCTATCCCAGCAGCAGGTAGAATGTATTGGTGACGTTAGGACAGACACATTGACTCAAGAAACTGCCAGATGTATTATTCAACGTCATCCCAGGGGTGCGATGAAATCGAAATGGCCCTGTGTGTTCTTCACCTGTATCTTTCTTCCTGACTTCTTCTCTCAAACGTCTCTTGGGAAGACTCACTGGTCTGTAAGTTTGTTACTAATTACCCTCAAATGACACCAAGGCACTGAAGCTGGTGCACAGATTTGGTTAGGGTAGGTTCACTGGGTCAAACAGGATTCTCGGTTTTGTTGGAATGTGTTGGTCATCTTTTGCGAAGACAGAATTTCCTTACCAATCCGAGAGTTTTCAGTCTATTCCTGAAACTGTGCTCAGATTCTGGTGCCAAAAAGCTCCCAAGTCTTCAGCCCTTCAAATTATTTTTGAGAGAGAGAGAGACAGACACAGAGTACAAATGGGGAAAGGGAGCAGAGAGAGAAAGACAGAATCTGAAGGCGGAATCTGAGGCAGGCTCCAGGCTCTGAGCTGTCAGCACAGAGCCCTACACAGGGCTAGAACCCAGGAACCATGAGATCTTGACCTGAGACGAAATTTGACACTTAACCAACTGAGCCACCCAGACACCCCCTTCAACCCTTCAAACTTTCTGTATCTTAAGCTCATTTTGCTATGACCTAGGAGGGTTTCTGAGGGGGCAAATCAAGAAGTACTTACTAGTTAAAGCTGGTTCTACCCACATATGAGATTCACACTGTTTCCTGAAGATTCAAAGCTTGTTAATGTCATAGATCTTAAAAGAAACAATCCCAGACTCCCACTCTGTATGTTTCATTTGAACCTTTACGGACAGTCCTCGGCTGCTTTGCAGAACTGCAACATTCCTTTGCACAAATTATACCTCCGTTATCAATGTCACTTTACGGTGATGTGACATCCTTAGTTCTCACGCACTGATACAAGTAACATTGAAGGCAACGTAAACATATGAATATCCCAGCCCTCTTTTGCACCAAGTTTTCCTGCCTGTCTACTTAC